GTTGGCAGCCACGTGCAAAGCTGCTGGACGTCGCGCGCCGAGAAGCTGCAGTCGAGCAGGTGCGTATCGAGTGCGAAGCAAAGGTCGATCGAGCTGATGCGCGGCGAAAGCGACGCGGCGATGGCCACGTGCTGCGGCAGCGCGATCGTGATGCGAACGCTCGTGGCAGGTCCGAGAGGAACGAGCCAGGCGTCGTCGAGGTCAGGCAAGGTCACGGTCGGGTACAATACCATGCAGCGTGCAACGTTCTGTACGCGGTCCATGCGGTCGCGCAGGGACGCGAGGAGGGTGGTGGTCGTCGGCCAGAGGTGGCGGCGCGGTGTCGTGGCCGATAGCGCCAGCAGACTCGTGAGCGCGTCCGTCAAGAGGCACGGTGGCAGCGCAGTCAAGAGCGCGAAGAGGTCGTCGGCGTCGCTGAGGAAGGTCGCGATCGCTTGGACGACGTCGGGTGCGAGTCGTCGCTCGATCGTGGCGGCCATGGCCAGATGGCCTTTTTTGAAGAGTCCTGTGACATTCGATATTGCACTTGAGAGTGTAGGTCGATCCTCTCCAATTGAATAGTATCAAGTGCAGCACTGGATAGTTTGGGTTTGGTGCACGCGGGTAGACTTTGCAGCGTCATACATGTCTCGTCGGTCATATCGGTCTAATGCTAGCGGCTTCCAGCTCCTCGATCGCAACACGACATTGTCCCAGAGTGTACGTACCGGTACTTGTTCATCGTATTGGAAGGCTCGCAACACCAAGCATAGCATCTGGGCACCCTGTTTTTCCGCCGAAATCTGCAGATGTTATCAAATGGTCTCCGCAGATGAGAGTAGAAAAATAGGGTGCTCCGATGCCCGTGTCCAGATGGTGCGAACATGCCAATAAATAGGGTCTTGCAAGCCTTCCACTCGCTCCACTCTCATCTGGCGGCTCCGAAGGAACCGTACATGCGATGACGCATTTAGTACGCCCTGTCGACATTATTGACGCGAGTTTCTTCTTGGTCATCGATGCGGCTGGTGGGCATGTCGTGATCGATGGGTCGCAACACGCAAGACGGATGAAACGGCTAGATTGATACTTCGTCGATACTATTCAAAAGACGCTCCACTGCCAAGTGGCGTCCAGTAAACACAGGTGCTTAAACAACACTAGATAACGTTGGAAGTCACTGTAGCTGGGCTAATAGCCACGACCGACGCGGGGTCATTGCGCTGGTGCTCGCCGCCACGGAGCTGCTCGAGCTGGTGAGCCGGCTGGGTGCTGACATTGTCGTCGTCACCGCACAGGCGAGGCAGCATCGTCGGAGCTTGGATGCACGAAGGAGTGATTTGTGGGACGAGCATCGAGTGTTTCTTCTCGTACGCTTTGCAGAATCGAGTGAGCTCGTGTGCTTTTGTCATGACCATGTCTGTGCTTGGCGCTTGAAGCTTGAGGAGCGTAAAGAGAATGCGAGCAGTTCTGAGCACGCCCTCGACGAGGCGCGAGTCCTGACCTAGCATCGCGAGGGCCTTTTCAAGCACTGTCTGCGTTGCCTCCACGTGGTCGCACGTATTTTGGAAGCGGCTGGTCTGCACGGGCGTTGCGATTTCACTCGCATCGGCCGCGTTTTCAACGCTCGTCGGGGGCGTAGGCTCCATACTGCAGTCCTCAATCTCAAGAGGCGTGCGTACGGTCGCTAGGACGGTGCACGCGTCGACCTCGATATGGGACGACAGTGGCATCGGCGTGTTGGCGTGTTGTTCTCGATGGCACTGGACGATGCACTCTCGCATGCGGCGGAGCGACTCGAGGCTGCATTTGAAGGCCGCGTCCGTGGCTTCAAAGGCGCCGGGTGCCTCCCGGAGGCAATCCACGAGCTTCCATCGGGCGTCGTCGTCGTCTGGATTGTCGGTGAACGTGCACGTGTGCGTGAAGACGCGTGCGCACCATTGTGCAGCTGTTGCGCTCGATTTGAGGGCGCTGTCCAGCGCAAAGCAGTGCTTGTACGTCGTTGGCGCCGAGGCCGTGGTGGCGACGAAGGTTGTGACGGCGTTGTGGCACTCAATCCATTGCACGTTGTCGGAGGATGCTGTTGGCTTGGTCGCGAAGTTGCCCATGGGAGAGAGGGAGTTGGAAATGATTTGTGGCTCGATCCTGTCGATGTTGCACCAGGGTAACATGCCCTTGATTCGATTCCATCCACAAGGCCTTGTCTTGAACGTTGAAAACATGCTACTTTGTATCAAGTGCCCGAGGTCGATGTGATACTATCACATCGACCACCGTTGATAAAATCCACTTGATGCATGTTATGTATCAAGTGGATTTTATCAGCGGTCCAGTAATTGCTGTTGATGGTTCCGCCACTATCAAGTCGCGGCACGGCTACGTGCCATCAATCACATTTCAATTGACGACCATGGGAATATTTTGGCCGAAACCAGTTGCGATAGACGACGCGCGCTGTCGGGAGGCGCTCGCCGCCTGCTGGGGGCCCTGCGAAGCCACAGTCCTCGCACTCCTAGAAGGGAAAGACGACTACCCAGGCACCGCACGCGAAGTCCTCAACCTCATTTGCGAGCGCATGAACAGTGGACTCGAACAACACTTGACGTCTATGGAAGGCACCTTCACCTGGTGCTCCGAGGCCGAAAGCTACCTCAATGCATACCTCACGACGCGTGACACGCAAGACACGAAGACTCTGCGCATCGATGTCGCTGAGCATCTCGAGAAGGCACCGGCCATGACCACGGCCTCGCTGAAGAGCATCGAAAACAGCCTGCTAGCCGTCAACGACGCCATCGGGCACCTCGCCGCGTTCCGCGTCGCCATCAACAACAACTTTGTCGTCCGCTCGCAGGACTGGCGCTGGCAGCGCAACGAGGTGAAGCGCAAGCTTGACGCTGCCGAGACATGCTTCCAAGCGACCAAGGAGGCACTCGAACGCGCTTGCAAAGTTCTGAAGCGCGACTCACACCAAGTCAACGCCATTCAAACCCGCAGCAGAATTGTGCACAAGTTTATCCGGCTCAACAACCGCAACATGCCGCAACTCCAGGAGCAAAGCGAAGCGCTCGTTGTGCTCTGCAGCTCGTATCAGGCTCGCCATCACGAGTACACTTCGTTCGTAATGCAATAAAGAGAAGGACACCGTTCTTGCCAGCAAATGCCTCGGATTTTCTACAAAATTCGCCCCTTGCATGCGTTGCATGTGTGCTCAAGACCATGCTCCGGAGGGTACACATTATTAATAGTTGGAGTCCTGACTTTATAGGGCCATGAGAACTTGAAACTAATGAGGACTCTAAAAAGTCACCAGGAAAAGAGCTTCGAGGTAATACGTCCCCGTAGTGTACCCTTCATTCCTTTCCTCCCGCTTCTTGCTGTCTCCAGGCCTTGCAACGTCGCCGTGAGCAGCGTCAAGGGCATTCAATATCCGGATAGTTCATTTGCATTGCACGCATGCACTGTAGTTTGTTGGGAATAAAATTAGGAAGACAGTTTTGTAGCTTCTTTTCGTTAACTCATGGTGACCAAGGTTTAGTAAATCCGGCGTTGAAGACACGTCGTCAAGCGCCGAGCGTGATCGCTGGGTGCACGTAGCAACGCTGAAAGAGCGAATGGCTGACGCATCGACTTGATATTTTTTGCCCACTCGACACTTGACGCTCGCACTTGACACAATCCAGCTGGTGCGGCAAGAAAACCAATCTTCTTCATTTCACAAAACGCAGAGCATGGGAAACTACTTCACGACGACGCCGCCGCCGCCTCCACCTCAGGACATTGCACGCTGCCGCGACGCAGAATCTGCCGGGTGGGGCAACTGCCGCGGGTCGATCCTCGCGCTCCTCGACGAAAAGTACCAGTATTCCCCCGAAGCGCTTGAGTACATCAAGGCGATTTACACCCACATGGACCGAGCACTCGATCTCCACCAAGGCGCGACCCAAGAGATGTACCAGTGGTGTGACCAGGTCGAAAGCTACATTGGTGGCTTTCTTCTGTGCGACAACCGAGCCGATGCCGCGATGCTTCGGGACGCGATCCTCCCGCTCCTCAACGTGGCGGAACAAACGATGAAGGCCACAATTAAAAGCCTCGAGTCTGCCATTCTGGACGTCAACGAGGCCATTGGTTTGCTCATCCAATTCCGCGTCGCCATCGACAACAGCTTTGCCCCCAACGCTGGGCGCCTCGTCGCACAGCGCAATGCGGCCACGCTCAGCCTCGAAGCTGCCAACGCGTGCCTTGTGGCGACCAAGGACGCACTTGAGCGCGCCAGGGACGCTTTGAAGCGCGACGTGAACCTCGCTAAAGCCATCGCCGCAAACTCAGGAGTGGTGCGCGTGTTTATCGCGATGGACACCGTGGCGCCGTCGGACGTGAAGAAACGTTGTAAAGAGCTCACCACACACTGTCAGTCGTACAAAGGTTGGCACCGCGAATACATGGAGTATCTCTTGCAAGCAAGGGAATAAAACGAAGCGTGGTCCTCCCCTAGAATACACAACTGTACATTAATAATACACGACGCCTGTGTTTTTTCAGTGCCAGAGTTTTTATTATGGCATCTTTTGATGCAGAATTTCAATCTATTGCCGAAAGACATGCCGCGACGAAGCGCCTTCTGGAGTTGATCGAGGCGGTTCCGACTCGAGCAAAACGGCGCTCAATTTAAATGTATGCAAACTGGTGTTCTAGACGATGGCGACAACCGAATGACCAGCACCGTCAAAAATTATGTTGTACATGCCTGTCTTGAATTTCAATCTAATGCTTCATCGACTTATCTGCGCGCGTGGAGACGGGGTTGTAAAGTGCCTAATTTTCATGCCGGCCTTATAAAGAAGTACTCACGTTTGCAGAAAGGGCCCCACAAGTTTAGAAATATTGTAGTATACCTACAGCGTGACCGAGCGGTTGAACGCGATCGTCTAGAAACTATGGTTTCGAAATGTTTGGAAATAGTCAAGAAAATGATGAAGTGTATGTAGAGGAGATGATGGAACGAGCGATCGAAAGGTCTACGAGAGCGGGCGAAGCGAGAGGGTGAAGAGTTGCTTGATGGTAATGTCCTTGCGGAACACGCGGATCACCGTCTTGTCGACTTTGCTCTCCGTAATGACATGGCAGTGGGCGCGAAAGATGTCGTGGCACAGTAAAATGTTGAAAAACACCTACAAAAACACCAATAGTTGCTCTCCTTTTCACCAAAAAATATGCCACAGAGTCGTTTCTAGCTTCTTACCTTCATGATGTCGTCGGTTCGAAAGAGGAACCGGTTGTCGACGACGACCCATCCCGACGTCCAAATTCCGGACGGCGACGCGTACTTCATGCCTAGGAATGATTTTGCATGTTGTCAAACAAGTCGCAACGTGAAGGGAGATGATGCTGACCTTTGATGAAGAGGTAATTCTCGTGGTACGACATGAGACCATATTTATGGCGCAAGTATTCGCCCTACGAACGCACTTTCACATGGCCAAATATCGCAACAAGTGCAAGTACCGTGCTGCTCTCAAAGCATGTCGCGTTCTCTGTGCTACCCGACTTGCCAGTGGTCGCACCCGTGCCTCCCTACACGAATAGTCCTCTAAATCATGAAATCGCAACAACATGAGAAAATTGTACCGTGTCGGCCGACATGGTCCCGCGCGTGTGCGCGGCTTCGACGAGGTGGTCTGTGAACCGCGCCGTGTAGAAGCGATTCATGGCGCAGTAGAGCGCAAATATGATGAGCGCTACATCCATGATGGTAAAGTCGTCTTTTTGATGCTAAATCAATGCACGTACCGATGTACAACCACGTCATTTCGTTGAAGACAATGGTCGCGTTAAAGTCAAGCTTTTCGTGCCACATCCACATGTCGAGACCCGACGAGTCGGACGGCACGACGTTGAGCATTTGGTTCGCAATGAGCTCGTCGTTGGCCCCTACAGTGACACATTGAATCATGAAAACATTCCGAAAAACAAAAAAAGTACGGGTCAGAATAAAACCGAGACTGGCCACGATGGCTTCGCGCTGCGAGTAGACAATCATGTACACGATCACTGGAATCTAGCAATACACAGTTAGAATCCGTTGGTGACACTGTCGAGACAACGCACCGCGGGGTTCACACGCAGCCGAAAGTTGGTTGCAATGAGCGCGGCGCCCGCGAGAAAGAGGCTCAAGCAGTCCGACTTGATGGAGTCGGTGAGAACATACATCGCAAGCAACTGGTTGCGCGCGTTGCCTTGGTTGTACGACCTGAAAAAAGAAATTTATCCATAAATCCAAGAGTACATAAAATCCAAGAGGACATAAATCCAATGGGATTTATGTACTCTTGATAAAACGAGCCAAAAGCGGATATGTACCATTCTTGAAGCGCCCACCAGCCATCGATCCACCATGCGAGGATTGTGAGAACGCCTCGGAACCCAATGCCCGAGCCCACGGACGGCGAAATGTCGGGAATCCACCAGACGCCGGTTGCGGTGTGAATATTTTTGGAAATGATGCACGCCATGATCTACGACAACATGTCCATTCTCAGTTCAACATATTCGAGCAACATTGAAGACGTGTACCGTGCTCGTAATGATCGTAAACGAGAGGAAACCGCTCACCAAGGCTTGGCCCCACGCCCACGAGTTTTTGATGCGCCCGACGCCTTCGTAGTTGAAGTAGTGAATCGGGTCGAGCGGATTCGGCGACAATTGCCACACAAACGTATTGTAGTTGGCTTGTTCGTTCTGCGACCCGCGGTACATGCCACCATATCCCTAGCCCAGCCACGTTCGACCATATGAATGGAAAAAATAAGTTGAAAACCTGGAGGATCATTTCCAGCTCCGTCGAAAGCACGTAGGTGTTCCACGCGCCCGTGCTCGTGGTCGAGTTGATGTACACTTCGTCAAACGCTGCCGTGTTGAAGGGAAACCCACGCGATGAAAACATGCGGTGAATCGCCACCTAATTCCCCAGTTGAAAATCAATTTTAAAAATCAAAAATCAACAATCGAAGTAAATATACCTCGGTCGACGAGAGGCCGGCCAAAGCGTCACCGGGAGGTATCGTGGGCGCAACTTGCAAGGATGCTATGGTCATGTTGGTGATGGTGACCGTGCCCGTCGGCATCGTGTCGCGCCGCGCCGGAATGTTGGCCATGATCGTCTGCAGCTGAAACGTCACAATCCACTTGAGGTGTCGCTCGAGCAAATACGCCTAGTATCCATGTATCAACTTGATACGTTATTTCTTGAAAGATACCTTGAATGCCGTCGTGTCTTGGGCGAGGCGGCCTTCAAAAGAACAGTCGACGATAGCAATCGCGCTGTTGTCGGTCACACTGGCTGCCATGCCATAGTCGACCATCATGTTTTTCATCAAAAGTGACACGTGGGCCGGTGCGTAAATGCGCTCTGTCGTCGCATTGACAATCGTGGCGCAGCCGTTTGGCTGGAACCGCGTGGCCGTCGCGTCGGTCGATTCTTTCTCCAAGTAGGCCACGTGGTGCCCTGCATTGAGGAGCTAATGAAGCACATGGTGAGCCATCAAAAATGATATAGAAAGTGCGTACTGTCGTGATGCGGTCCTGGACACTAGGGCCCGAGAGCGCCGCTTCGCGGAGCAAAAATGGCATGTTGAACGAGTGATAGCCGTACGACCGGGGCGTGTCGTAGCTTCCAAGCAGCGTCTCGATCGTGCGCACGACCCCCGTCGTGTTGACGACAAAGATGACGGTAATCTACACTTTTAGCATGAAACACGAAGTTAAGGTACAAAAGAAGGTGACACCATACCGCCACGATGGCCGTGACACTGTTGAAGATGTACAGGAACGCCTTGCGCTTGCGGCTCTGCGCCGCGGGTGCGACGACCCCGTTGACGCTCTCAGGTCCTTTCATGCCGCCAAAGACCAAATTCTGCACTGTGGAGATGTATTTTCGGCGCGCCTGGTAAGCGGTTTTAAAACGAGGCGATTGGACAGCCGATCGATTCAAACCTCCAGCGGCAAAGTGGCAGAAATGGCCCAGATTGCACTTATGGCATCGCGGGTCATTTAAACAGCGCGGGAGGCGACAGGACCTTGGAGTGGTCGATAGCGTTGTTAGGAACCCTTCTATTGACCCTTGGGTAAGAAGAGATGCGCACCAAAACCACTTACACGCCCAAGAAGCAAAATCGTTGTGTCAGTGGTCGTCAATGGTCAGTGACGTCGGAGGCACCGCATCAACGCCTTCGACAACGGCAACGTCGGCAGCAGACGCATGCAGGACACTAGTCGCTACATCGGTCTCTACGTCATCTTTGAGGAGGCCAGAGATATCCTCGCCGATGGCCGGCGTCGATGACAGAGCGTTGTCATCGCGTGCACGAGCTTTGGGGGCACTCTTGCAAACGCACTACGGGTTCAATTTGTAGTGGCCAACTACACGTACAAGTTGTCTGATTGAAGGGAATGGTAGTGATGCGAGCGTCGGACGCTGCGACGAAAATGCGTCGAAGGTTACGAGGGAACCATCATTCACAAGAGCGTGGATTCGATTTCTACAGCGAGAGTCATTTCCACACATTCCTTGGAGCCAACACGTCTGGCGATCCATCCAAATGTCGCTCGCCTGTCCACAATGCACTCTTGAGAACCCTCTCGACGTGACGCACTGCGTGTGCTGCACGTCGGCGCTTCCGCCCGACGATCGCATCCGCACGCTGCTGAACCAAGTGCACTCGCTCGCGTCCGAGCTCCACGACGCGCGCGCCATCATCGCGTCCCTATCAGCAGCGCATCGGCACGTATCGCCACCAGTGCCTCGAACCCCACCAACCACCGTTGTCAACGTCAACGCACAGAGCCTCCGACGCATGGGCTACCGTAGCCTGGACGCGTGGTTGGCCGCGTCGCCGCACCACAAATATGTGGGTCGTGGCATGGCGGCGCGCGACGGCAAGCCCGCGATGCCTGGCAGCGTCTGGGGCAATCCGTTCAAGATCGGCCGTGCCGGAACCCGAGACGATGTCGTTCAACGGTACCGGGACTACATAACAGAAAAAATCACGCGCGGGGACGTCGACTTGAGCGATGTGCGCGGCAAGGTGCTCGGGTGCTGGTGCAAACCGGAGGGTTGTCACGGCGACGTTCTCGCCGAGCTAGCCGATGCGCATACCGAATGAAATTCAACTTGTGCTCTTTGAGACTATGCCGTGTCAAAACAGTGAGCGACATTGTCTAGAAAGGGCCAAAAGATCCAGACGGCGACAACGAGATAGATGCCCACGAGATATAACCAGATCCAGACATTCCCGAATACATGAGTTATAAGGTTCGATTCAAAATGCGAACCTGCTGTATCCACCACGGTCTTGGCCAAGAGAGCAAAAGAAGCCTTGAGCATGGTGGGCTAACACGATTCTTGCCCGCAAGTCGGTCTAGCCAGAGAAAATTCGGGTAGAACGAGCAAACACGGCCATGGAAAACCACTTCCAGAAGAGCAACGGGCATTGTAGCTTAGGGGTGGGGTTCCAGCACGCGTTTGTTTCCACGGGACTCGACATGGAATAGCTCCTCCGCCTCCGTGGGCGAACGCTTTATGACTATGTGAATGTGTCTATGGCGACGACGCGTGGTCTTTCCAAGAACGTTCCAAACCAGAATGTTGATCGACATGAGATTTTTTTCGTGCAGTGTGGTTCTGTTCTGCGTGGTTGCTGCTGTGTCGAATCTCAATTCGGTCCACAGCCTTTCGCACACCTTGACCACACCACAGAGCCGGACCACGCTATTGCGTGCGTCTTTGTTGTCCAGAGCACCAGACACATACTGTATGCTAGTACATCACAACGACAGGTTGCATTTGTTAAAGCCGAGCGTTTGCATTGTCTTTGTCGTCTGCGCTCTTCTGCACCTTGATGGCCAACATACCAATGGCTTTAGATGAGGAAAGCAATCCGTGTTAAATAAGAGGTGTCGTGCCCTACTACGAGGCGATAGTTAAATAATCTTGGCGCGCGCCATCGGAGCTGCGTCCACCGGGTCGGCAAGGCACGTTGGCGGGCTCAGAAACACGCGGAGCAGGTCGGCCATGCGTGCACTGTCGCTGTCCGACGCCGTGCGTTGAATGTAGCGAAGGAGGTTGACGAGGTAGTGTTCCAAGTTGCCGCACATGCCCTTGATGACGAGCATGTCGCGACGACCAAATAAGTGTTCGCGCGGCAGCGGAAAGTGCACGAGCGCGTCTGCAAACGCGGCATTGTTGGCAGCCGCCGCCAAAAGCGCTTCGTGGAGCTGGCGAAAGTCGGCGATCGTGTGGTGCACGATCCAGCGGTGCGTGGCGGTCGCGACGCGGACATGGTACACGACGTCGACCTTTTGGAAAAAGAGGAATTTTTTCGAGTTGGCTTGAATGACGCGGCTGCCGTTGATGCAGCACTTCCATTGTGGCCACGCGGCGAGGACCGTGCTGTAGTCGTCGAGGCTGGTGGCACTCGTGAGCTTCTTTACGGAATTGGCGGTCGCTTGCATAAATCGCGTCCAAATGGAAAATGAGGTGTGTGGGTCCACCTGCTCGATCGTGATTGGCGCGTGCGTATTACAGCATGGTGTCGGGCCTATTACACCTGGTAGAGTGTCCAACGCCATGGTTTTTCCCGGCTTTACGATTCAGTAGCGATCTGGGTGATGCAAATGCATATTTGTATACAGCGTGTTTGTATTAACTACTAAAAAACGAGTGTAAAAATGCATGGAAAATACATATCCGACGACGGCGAAAAAACACGGAAACACAAAGCCATGACAATACACTTGGGATTTGTATGGGGGGCCCGCGCCGCCCGTCTTTGGGATGTGCCCGCCGGTTCCACATCGTTTTCTTGTGTTGACCAGAGTGGGCATGCACCCATCGGACGACCAAAGGCTCCTGGCGTCAGTCTGGGACACATACACTAGGACGGAGGCCATCGTGCGTGCGGCGCGATGTGGCGCGACCCATTACACGAGCGCTCGTCAATTGCCAGCATAGCAGCAGTCCGCCGTCGCTGGCCGAATCGCCTTTGGTATCTTTACAAGGCAGGATCCAGCGAAATACGATTTCAATTTTTTGAAAAATGCCAGAATAGATCAATAGAATAGATGGTGCAAAGTGGGGCTGTATCAATGGCCATTGGAACGGGCGTGGTCACCGCACCTGCACGAGCGTGCGTAAGCATTGGGATACCTGTCGTTTGGCGGCGATTTAACGACAACGCCACGCTCAAGATGGCCGTCAACAGCGTCTCTATAACTACCGGTACCGGTACAGTGTATAAATACTCGGTGCATCCATCGTTTGTCGACGCGGCGAGAACATCGCCGATGGTCGGCTGGATGAGAACGAACTTCATTTTCTTGTGATTTTCCTCTGTTGATTTCTCCGGTTCCCGGCGTGATGTCTTCAGCACTGGATAGTACATAGTATGCGGTCCTGCGTATTTCGATGCTGCAGTGCCTTTGCACGAGCAGTCGATCCGCCACGACACATGGGTAGACCGGCACTAAGAGCCGGTGACTCGGTCTTCATCGACCCGACCATCTGACGAAACGTCACGCTACTAGGCCGAGCCACCATTTTTAATACTGTCGCGAGATCCAGGTGAGTCTGGACTGTGGACGCCAGTGCCGCTGCAAGAAAGCAAGGAGGTCGGTCATGCTTTTGTATGCTTCGTCCTGTCGAACGTCTCTCAAGCTTTGGCCTCTCGAAAGCACATGTTGGGTCGTCTCTCGTTGCTTTCACTCCCGTTCGAATCGTCCCTCGTTTGAATAGCGGTGGCACTTTGTGCAATCTGAACGTGGCCTACTGACAGCGGCTCTAAGAGGCGCTTTGTAGGGCGACAGCAGCTTCTGAAAGGCTGAACGAGGCTCATTCAGCAACACGGACGATGGCTTTTCGGGCACATCAACGCAAACGCTTTGGCGAGCATGTCAGGACGATCAGAAGCGTAAGCAAAGGACGCGGGGCTGCGTCACGGAGGACAACTTCCGTTGAAGAAAATGGTCGGCGGTTCTGTTGAAGCAACTCAGATCGCGTTGCGGCGTAGATTAGGAAACAGGTCGCCCAATCATGTGTCAACAACGACCACCTATCCGACACCCGTGAGGTCGCACGCTGCAAGGAGCGCAGAGACCAACTGCAGCTTCACGCCCACGATCGACATCGTCTTTGTTGCCTTTGTCAGATATTGCCTGGAATGCCGCTCGACAGGTTTTCAAACGACAAAGCCAACCAGCGACGCTACGTGGTCACGTTTGCATGGCTCGGATTGGTTATATATTGCCGATTTTCGCCCAATCCGGATGCGGTTTTGGCTCCATTTTTTAAGCCGGCTCCTAACCGAGGCGAACTGCTCAAGGAACTGTGGCTCCATCGTCATTCATGATTGGCCACCACCGTAGCATACCCGTATACGGTACATGTACTACAAGAGGCTGCTACAATTGCCAAGTTCCTCGATCCAAGGTGCGCGCGTGATACTACGAAGCCCGAGTTCCAGGCCGAGCGTCAGATCATCGAAAATAGCATGCGTCGGCGTCAACTTGCGAGACGCCGATGTTTTGCCCAGCGACAAGGGCGACGAGCTCAACCTCTTCGGCGTCTCGGCACCAACGACGTGAGGTTCGACAACTTCGAGATCGATCGCTACGCTGCGCTGCCCCAGGTCGACAAGGACGAAGATATACTCGAGTGGTGGCGGTCGCACAAGGTCGTGTGCCCCGTGCTGTAGAAGATTGCGATGGACGACCTCTCGATCCCGGCCACGTCGGTGCCGAGCGAGCGAGCGAGCCAACAAACTGCGGCTAAGCGCGTCTTCGAAGGACGAGACAACCTTGGCGACAACATATTCAAGGCCCAAAAGTGCACGCAGTTGTGGCTGCAGCTTGCAAAGGCGTTGGACTTCCCGCTCCCAACCGACTACCTACTAGTACAGGCACTCGACGACTTCAAAGCGCGCGTGGACCTCTTGGAGATGGCCATCGAAGACCCCGTCATCCAGTACTACCTTGATGGCGATATTAAGCGCGAATAAAGTACCGGAGTTGATTACTGAATATAAGTTTTGCGACTCTGAACACGAACCGTTCCTGCTAACTCGAGATCCCTCGGTCTCCTCGGCTCAAGCCGTCCAGCTTGGTTCGGCTCGGCTCCAAACGTCAACGGTTTTGGTTCCATTTTTCCAGCCGGCTCCTAGCCGAACCGGACCGTGAAGGGGCCTACAGTAATTGCAAGTTAAAGCGAGATGGCCGACAGCGGGCGCCAGACCAAGGTGGTTCGTCCGACGCCGCCAGACGCGCTCGCGCTTCCGCACGTCGTCGAGGCCATTGCCATGTGCTTGAAGAACCAAGAGGACTTTAGCAGCTTTCTCTACGCGCTGCCACACTCACTCTGGACGCCGGCGCTCTCGGCCTTTCTCGACTGCGCCACGGACCTGCCAGCATCGCTCGTCGCCGACTGGCCGCGCATTGTGCTGTCTACCATGGCGTTTCCACCTTTGGTCTTAACGGTGCTCGCGGCGACGCTGCCGCTGCGACCA